GCCCATTCCGACACTTCCTCCCGGACATTAACTCGTTTACTTCTTGATAAGTATTCCCTGATTCTATGTGGGGCTGCTGTGTGTGTGTGTGTGTGTGTGTGTGTGTGTGTGTGTGTGTGTGTGTGTGTGTGTGTGTTGTGTGTGATATAGTAATTATCGTTTCATTATTAGAATTGTTTACAAAATTCGGTGAATATGATACTCATTTCCACTGAGCCTCGGGCAGCATCAACCCCTTATTACAGTTGAGTCTGTAACGTAATACTCTCACGCCACACGGTGCCTGCGACGCTACCGTGATACACGGTGCCTGTGACTCTACGGTGACGCACGGTGCCTGTGACGCTACTGTGATGCACTGTGCTTGTGACGCTAACGTGCTACACGGTGCTTGTGACGCTACCGTGCTACACGGTGCCTGTAACGCTATAGTGCTATACGGTGCCTGTGACGCTACCGTGATACACGGTGCCTGTGACGCTACCGTGCTACACGGTGCCTGTGACGCTACTGTGATGCACTGTGCTTGTGACGCTAACGTGCTACACGGTGCTTGTGACGCTACCGTGCTACACGGTGCCTGTAACGCTATAGTGCTATACGGTGCCTGTGACGCTACCGTGATACACGGTGCCTGTGACGCTACCGTGCTACACGAATTGTACTGGCTCCGTTGGTTCTCACATTATTGCACTGGTTCCCATAGTACTACACTGCTTCCCACGGTACCACCCTGGTTCACACACTAATACACTATTTCCCACACTACCACACTGGCTTCTACACCTCTACACTGCTTCCCACACTACCACACTGGTTCCCACACTACCACATTGGTTTCCACACTACTACACTGGTTCCTACACTACCACACTGGTTCCCAAACTACCACATTGGTTTCCACACTACTACACTGGTTCCCACACTACTACACTGGTTCCCACACTACTACACTGGTTCCCAAACTACTACACTGGTCTCCACACTACCACACTGGTTCCCAAACTACCACATTGGTTTCCACACTACTACACGGGTTCCTACACTACCACACTAGTTCCCACACTACTACACTGGTTCCCACACTACTACAACGGTTTCCACACTACTACACTGGTTCCCACACTACCACATTGGTTCCCACACTATTACACTGGTTCCCACACTACTACACTGGTTCCCGCACTACCACATTGGTTCCCACACTACTTCACTGGTTCCCACACTACACTGGTTCCCACACTACTACACTGGTTCCCACACTACCACATTGATTCCCACACTATTACACTGGTTCCCACACTACTACACTTGTTCCCACACTACCACATTGGTTCCCACACTACTACACTGGTTCCCACACTACACTGGTTCCCACACTACTACACCGGTTCCCACACTACCACATTGGTTCCCACACTACTACACTGGTTCCCACACTACTACACTGGTTTCCACACTACTACACTGGTTTCCACACTACCACATTGGTTTCCACTCTACTACACTGGTTCCCACACTACCACATTGGTTTCCATACTACCACATTGGCTCCCACACTACTACACCGGTTCCCACACTACCACACTGGTTCCCACACTACCACATTGGTTCCCACACTACCACATTGGTTCCCAAACTACCACACTGGTTCCTACACTACTACACTGGTTCCCACACTACCACATTGGTTTCCATACTACCACATTGGTTCCCACACTACTACACCGGTTCCCACACTACCACACTGGTTCCCACACTACCACATTGGTTCCCACACTACCACATTGGTTTCCACACTACCACATTGATTTTCACTCTACTACACTGGTTCCCACACTACTACACTGGTTCCCACACTACTACACTGGTTCCCACACTACTACACTGGTTCCCACACTACCACATTGGTTTCCACACTACCACATTGGTTTCCACACTACTACACTGGTTCCTACACTACCACACTGGTTCCCAAACTACCACATTGGTTTCCACACTACTACACTGGTTCCTACACTACCACACTAGTTCCCTCACTATTACACTGGTTCCCACACTACTACAATGATTCCCACACTACTACACTGGTTCCCACACTACCACATTGGTTCCCACACTATTACACTGGTTCCCATACTACTACACTGGTTCCCACACTATCACATTGGTTCCCACACTACTACACTGGTTCCCACACTACTACACTGGTTCCCACACTACTACACTGGTTCCCACACTACCACATTGGTTTCCACACTACTACACTGGTTCCCACACTACCACATTGGTTCCCACACTACCAAACTGGTTCCCACACTACTACACCGGTTCCCACACTACCACATTGGTTCCCACACTACTACACTGGTTCCCACACTACTACACTGGTTTCCACACTACCACATTGGTTTCCACTCTACTACACTGGTTCCCACACTACCACATTGGTTTCCATACTACCACTTTGGCTCCCACACTACTACACCGGTTCCCACACTACCACACTGGTTCCCACACTACCACATTGGTTCCCACACTACCACATTGATTTCCACTCTACTACACTGGTTTCCATACTACCACATTGGTTCCCAAACTACCACACTGGTTCCTACACTACCACATTGGTTCCCAAACTACCACACTGGTTCCTACACTACTACACTGGTTCCCACACTACCACATTGATTTCCACTCTTCTACACTGGTTCCCACACTACCACATTGGTTTCCATACTACCACATTGGTTCCCACACTACTACACCGGTTCCCACACTACCACACTGGTTCCCACACTACCACATTGGTTCCCACACTACCACATTGGTTTCCACACTACCACATTGATTTTCACTCTACTACACTGGTTCCCACACTACCACATTGGTTCCCACACTACCACATTGGTTTCCACACTACCACATTGGTTTCCACTCTACTACACTGGATCCCACACTACCACATTGGTTTCCATACTACCACAATGGTTCCCACACTACTACATCGGTTCCCACACTACCACATTGGTTCCCAAACTACCACATTGGTTCCTACACTACTACACTGGTTCCCACATTACCATAATGGTTCACACGCTACCACAATCGTTCCCAAACAACTACACTGGTTCCCAAACTACCACACTGGTTCCCAAACTACCACACTGGTTCCCAAACTACCACACTGGTTCCCACACTACCACACTAATTTCCACACTACCACACTAATTTCCACACTACCATACTGGTTAGCACGGTATTACAATAGTTCCCACAGTACCACACTGGTTCCCCCAGTATTTCAATAGTTCCCACACAACTACACTGATTCCCACGGTATTACAATAGTTCCCACGCTACTGCACTGGTTCCCACGCTACCACGCCGGTTTCCAAGGTATTACAATACTTCCCACGCTACCATATCGGTGGTTCCCAACCTACCACACTGGTTTCCACGCAACTACACTTGTTGCCACACTACCACATCAGTTCCCACACTACCACATTGGTTCCCACGCTACTACACTGGTTCCCACGCTTCCACACTGCTTCCCACACTTGCACCAGCACTGGTTCCATCACTAACACACTGGTTCCAACACTGGCTCCAACACTACCACACTGGTTCTAACACTATCACACTGGCTTTAAAACTATCACACTGGTTTCAATACTACGACTCTGGTTCCGACACTACCACACTGGTTCCAACGCTAACACACTGGTTCCGACACTACCACACTATTTCCAACGTTAACACACTGGTTCCAACACTACCACACTGGTTCCAACACTACCACACTGGTTCCAACGCTAACACACTGGTTCCAAAACTACCGCACTGGTTCCAACACTACCACACTGGTTCCAACTCTACCACACTGGTTCCGACACTACCACACTGTTTCCAACGCTAACACACTGGTTCCAACACTACCACACTGGTTCCAACACTACCACACTGTTTCCAACAGTACCACACTGGTTCCCACAATACCACCCTGGTTCCAACACTACCACACTGGTTCCCACACTACAACACCGGTTCCAACACTAACACATTGGTTCCGATACTACCACACTGATTCCCACATTACCACACTTTCCAACACTACCACACTGGTTTCCACACTACCACACTGGTTTCAACACTACCACACTGGTTTCAACACTACCACACTGGTTCCAACACTACCACATTGGTTCCCACACTACAACACTGGTTCCAACATTACCACACTGGTTCCCACACTACCACACTTTCCAACACTACCACACTGGTTCCTACACTACCACACTGGTTCCAACACTACCACACTGGTTCCAATACTACCACACTGGTTCCATCACTACCACACTGATTCCATCACTACCACACTGATTCCAACACTACCACACTGATTCCCACACTACCACACTGATTCCCGCACTACCACAGTGGTTCCAACACTACCGCACTGGTTCCCACACTACCACACTGGTTCCAACACTAACACTGTGGTTCCAATACTACTACAATGGTTCCAACACTAACACACTGGTTCCAACACGGGTTCCAACACTACCACACTGGTTCCAACAGTGGTTCCCACGCAAGAACGAAAGAACCAGTGTGTTAATTGTTACTCTGATGATTATTGTTATTATTAATATAATTATTATTGTTCATTTATTATTATTGTTATTTGTGGTGATAGTTATGGTTGTGTTGATGGTGGTAGTGGTAGTGGTGGAGGTGGCAGTGGTAGTGGTAGCAGTGGTGATGGTGGCAGTGGTGGTAGTAGTAGTGGTGGTGGTGGTGGTGTGTGTGGATAGTCGTGGTAGTGATAGTGGTAGTAGTGGTGGTTGTAGTGATGGTGGTGACACACGTGGTAGTGTTGGTGGTGGTAGTAGTGGTAATGGGGGCGTGGGTGGGTGGGCCTGTGTCAGCATGTGTCAGTGTGTGTGTGCGCGCCTGCTGTGGATATATAAAGAGGGTTGAGGCGTGGCGAGGCCCATCAGACCACTCTCCTGAGTCCTCTCTCGCTCTCCTGGTCTTCTTGCCATCCTCGCCACCACATCCTCTCCAACACACCAAAAGTAGGTGGTATTCCTCTCAGGGATGTCAAAGATACTTTTTAAGATGTTCTACACATGTCTTAAAGAATCTTTCACTTTGAGAAAGACTTCCTCTAGTATTTATTTATTTATTTATTTATTTACAATTTGAGCACACTTACAGAGGTACAAAAAAATACAGATAAGAGCAGCATGCCAAAGCCACTTATACTATGCATAGCATTACGGGCTGGCTTAAAATTAACTTAAGATTAACTAAGCAATGATGAAATCAGTGATAAAACATTAATGTAAACAGATTACTATAAAGCACAAGTGAGTATTACAAAGACAGGTCATATGGTTGCATGCATTGTTGTACATTCAGTCATATGGAGTATTCTGTTAGGTAGTGTATTTAAAAAATAATAAAGTTAGTAATCAGGTTTGATCCGAGGGCATCAACACCACTTCCTCTTCAAGAAAGTGGTGTTGTCTGTTGAAAAAGAATGGGATTGCGATTTCTGCTTCAATACTAAAAAGTGAAGTGAGATTATTCTTCAAGGAGATGGCCGACGTAGCTGTTCTTGGGATGTAGTGGGTCCAGGAAGGTCTTGGGTCGTGTGCTTTGGTGGGTCCTGAAAGAGTCGTGGGTCTTGGTGGGTTCAGGAAGGTCTTGGGTCGTGTGCTTTGGTGGGTCCTAAAAGAGTCGTGGGTTTTGGTGGGTCCAGGAAGGTCGTAGGATCATATATGCTGGGTCCAGGAGGTTTTGATCCTCCCTTGAAAATAAAAGCCGACTTTGAGGCAATTTCGATAGGGCTTTTACGGGAAAATTTTATTTTACAAGTATACAATTGGAACATTTTTATGATGCTTATGAGGAATACCTGAAGGTTGACTTGAGTATTATGTTTGTAAAACTCCTTCGCACTCTACTACCTCGCACTCTACCAGTCAGTATTATGTTGAATTATGTAGATTTAAGGAGATGTTGACAACTTTCAGGTACTTCGAAAGGTCCAGGTTTTAAGGGATTTGAAAGAATGTAAAGACTGTACATATGTCTTTCCTTGTTTAGTGTCCATCGGCGAGAAAGTCAAACACTCGTTCTTCACCTTCTTCAGACATCACAGACTTGATCCAATTTCAGGAAATTATTTTTTATTGAAGGAAACTGTGCAGAATTTTGTATATCATTTTCGAGTTCTCACGTTTTTTTACAGGGAGAATATGAGAAGCTCTCATTTTCTGACAATTAAAATCCAATGAAAATGACAGAAGAGCCTCTTTCGCCCGATAAAGGAATCCATTTTGAACATATTTCTCATTTTTCCTGGCACGATGTCAGGGCAACGAATACCTCATCCTCCTGGAACCTCTGTTCTCACTTCGATGTTGCCAGAGTGTGTTCACGATGGCGACTTTGTTGGTCTTTCATGCCTCTCTGGTAGCCTTGCCACCACTCAGTCTCTCACTTAAGGATGCCTAAGATGTAACCTTGTCAAAGGACTATGCGAATGCATGAGCGGGCATAGCGAAAGTCATATCTGTGTGCTCTCACCCAACTGTGTGAGCGGGGATTGAGCTTTAAGTCTCCTGTAACGCCTTCACAATTCGATTAACTGGCTTGGTTTATTCTCTGCTCCTCTGAGTTCTTTTGAGTTAGTCTTCCCTACGTCCTTTTCTAATGCATTTAATTTGTTTACTATCCTTACACTACAGGAATTCTTTGCCCCTTTGTGTGTGTTTACTCTATTGTTGGTTCCACTTCATTACTGCTGAAGGATGATTAGTAATAAGGTAAAGTTACCGACAAAATGTTAGGTAAAAGGACACAGATGCAACTAGTGTGACATTTTGTGGAGACGTTTTGCTCTCCAGGAGTTTTGTCAAGGTAACGGCTTGATAAAGATCCTGGAGAGCGAAACGTTGTCACAATAAAATGTCACATTAGTTGCACCAGTGTCCCTTGGCTTGTAAGATGATTATTCTGCTCCCTCTCTTTTTAACACCTTTTTCCTCACTATAATTATTCCAGTGCCATCTAACCCAATTAACAAACCAGAACGTAAAGCTCGGCATTCGCTTAGATTGCATTTTTCATCTCAGGGACTAGTCTGGTTGCAACTCTTTGAATTTTCTCAAGATTCCTTTTTTTCCCTAGTTTATGTGAAGCTTCTATGCTTATGCAAGTACTCGTTAATTGTTCTTATATTTGTAAAGTGTAGGGTCTTATAGCCATTACTTATACTTCTTAAGCTTGCACAAGACTCTGTTGTTATTCACTGTGTGTTCTTCAAGACTCTGTTGTTATTCACTGTGTGTTCTTCAAGACTGTTGTTATTCACTGTGTGTTCTTCAAGACTCTGTTGTTATTCACTGTGTGTTCAAGACTGTTGTTATCCACTCTGTGTTCAAGACTGTTATCCACTCTGTGTTCTTCAAGACTCTGCTGTTATCCACTCTGTGCTCTTGAAGACTCTGTTGTTATTCACTGTGTGTTCTTCAAGACTGTTGTTATCCACTCTGTGTTCAAGACTGTTATCTACTCTGTGTTCTTCAAGACTCTGTTGTTATCCACTCTGTGTTCAAGACTCTGTTGTTATCCACTCTGTGTTCTTCAAGACTCTGTTGTTATCCACTCTGTGTTCTTCAAGACTCTGTTGTTATCCACTCTGTGTTCTTCAAGACTCTGTTGTTATCCACTCTGTGTTCTTCAAGACTGTTGTTATCCACTCTGTGTTCAAGACTGTTATCTACTCTGTGTTCTTCAAGACTCTGTTGTTATCCACTCTGTGTTCTTCAAGACTGTTGTTATCCACTCTGTGTTCAAGACTGTTATCTACTCTGTGTTCTTCAAGACTCTGTTGTTATCCACTCTGTGTTCTTCAAGACTGTTGTTATTCACTGTGTGTTCTTCAAGACTCTGTTGTTATTCACTGTGTGTTCAAGACTGTTGTTATCCACTCTGTGTTCAAGACTGTTATCTACTCTGTGTTCTTCAAGACTCTGTTGTTATCCACTCTGTGTTCAAGACTCTGTTGTTATCCACTCTGTGTTCTTCAAGACTCTGTTACCACTCTGTTTCAAGACTGTTATCCACTCTGGTTTTCAAGACTCTGTTGGTTTCACTCTGTGTTCAAGACTCTGTTGTTATCCACTCTGTGTTCTTCAAGACTGTTGTTATCCACTCTGTGTTCAAGACTGTTATCTACTCTGTGTTCTTCAAGACTCTGTTGTTATCCACTCTGTGTTCTTCAAGACTGTTGTTATCCACTCTGTGTTCAAGACTGTTATCTACTCTGTGTTCTTCAAGACTCTGTTGTTATCCACTCTGTGTTCTTCAAGACTCTGTTGTTATCCACTCGTGTTAAGACTGTTACTCTGTGTTCTTCAAGACTCTGTTGTTATCCACTCTGTGTTCTTCAAGACTGTTGTTATCCACTCTGTGTTCTTCAAGACTGTTGTTATCCACTCTGTGTTCTTCAAGACTGTTGTTATCCACTCTGTGTTCTTCAAGACTGTTGTTATCCACTCTGTGTTCTTCAAGACTGTTGTTATCCACTCTGTGTTCTTCAAGACTGTTGTTATCCACTCTGTGTTCTTCAAGACTGTTGTTATCCACTCTGTGTTCTTCAAGAGAGCTGTAATGAAATGTCTACTGAAAGTTGTGTTGTTGTTTTTCTAACTGTTAGGATTGTGTTTTGTCTGGCTGGTGCCTCGCACCTGGTATTCTCTTCCAGACTGATAGTTTTACGTTACCTCGCACGTCTTGTGCACTGAGATCTCTTCACAGTCGTTTATTAGAACATCCTAGCAATGTCCTGTAGTTACTGTACTTTCAGTCACGTTTCATTATTAACTTCAGCATAAGCTTCGTGAAGTCTTCACACGCTGACATGAAAACTTGCTAAAACACAACACAAACACACCACACACACACACACACACACACACACACACACACACACACACACGATCTCTGATTTCACTGTCAACACGTTGGACACTTCACTGCCCATCATCACTGTTTACTTCCCACAGAGGCCCCAGGACATACACTTAGTTGACACAGAAAGATTTTTCTTTCCTTGTTTCGGTGTAGCTAAACTCACACACACATACACATACACACACATACACACACGCACACACACACACACACACACACACACACACACACACACACACACACACACACACACACACACAGGTGAAAGCGGCCATTATCTTAACTACAGCACATTCGAGACACAGAAGAGGAATGGCTTCTCGCAGTGTTTTATGGACGAAATTGTAAATTGGCGTGGCTAGGGGCTGAGAGCTAGGCGCTGTGGGATGCGAGAGGATAAACATTTTTGTACCTTCCCTTTGCAATTTCCCTCATCCTCCTCCCTCTCTCCCCTCTTCCCACTTTAATCTTCCCTCCTGGTTTTCAGCGTGACGACGGGTTCGTCAAGTCGTTTAAAAAAAATAGCATGGTTACCCTTGGAAAAGAAAACATCAGGGTTACCCTAGCCAGTTTTCTTTTACAGAAGGTCACAAGGTTGTCACTGGGGGTATACAAGAGGTGCTCGTATACCTTGTTGATCTAATTCACGCCCCTTTGACCAAACTGATCTATTTGGGCTAATGGGTGCTCCCTTTGACCTACCAAATACCCCTTACACCTAACATTTCTTTGAGCTGGTGGATACCCACATAACCTATCGAAATCCCTATTTGACCCAATGAATGTGTTTGTGTCTTAACGAATACCCTATATGCCCTAATTTTGCAGATGAGTCGCGCCCTGTGCCCCGCCCTGGTGATCCTGGCTGCCCTGCTCGCACTGGTGGCCTCTCAGGGCTTCTACTCACAACGCTACGGCAAAAGAGGAGAGACGAGGGAAATGGCTGGTGAGTGAGCCTGGAAATAGTTGCTGGGAGCATGGCCCCCGTGGCCCGCTCCCAGACCTGCTGGATTGGTAGTTGACAACCTGGCCAGTCAGGCTGTTGGTGTTCCCACGTAGGCACCAACAGCCCGACTGATCAAAAATGGCTGTTGAGCAACTTGGCGAATTTCCTCTTAAAGGCAGTATTGTCAGCTATTAACATTATTAAAGTTAGTGTTATTAACTTCAGGTATTTTGTTAAATTTATTAAGCCTTTTATTAACTTTGTTAGCTGCTGGATTGACTTTATAACGTCTGTTATCTTACTTTATTTATAAAGAGAGATTGTTGAAAAGTCATGGACTCTTTTAAGAGTACTTATTGTACCCGACCTTTTCATGGTATTTAGCACAGTCTATTATGTCTTAAGTGCCGTATATTGACGAGTAAGCTGGTGGATTCTTGTGATGAATTGGATGTTGCTTACTGACACGAGTATACAGGACACAGCATAATATGGCATCAGACAGTATTGGGGAACAGGTGTCGCTACGAGAAAGCGTAGATAACAGATGCCGTTGAACGCAAGGATGGAGGACTGCAAGGGAAAGTGGGGGACGGTAAAGAAACAGCAAATAGGAAGGGATTGATTGGGAGGAAGGGAAAAACGGAGGGAGAAAAGGATAGAGGCAGGCAGGAAAAGGGAAAAGAAGGTAGAGCCAAATACAGGTAGTAAGAAAGTAATTTGTACTGTGTTGCTATGCTCTTTGGCAGTTCTTCCACTGATTAATTTATTGTGTGGGATAGTGAAGCAAAAAGAGAAGGAAGAGGAGGAGAAAGAGAAGGAGATAAAGGAGGAGGAGGGAAAGGAGGAGGAGGAGGCGAGCAGTGTCAATCACACAGTGGAGATAGGAGAAGTTGACCCCCTGTTGAAAGGACACGGTTGGCCACAATTTTTTTCTTATCCTTTAAGCTGATTGCTAGTGATTTTGTTGACCCCGAGCGCGCGCACGCACGCACGCACACACACACACACACACACACACACACACACACACACACACACACACACACACACACACAGAGGAAGTGCTTAAGGAAAGGGATGGAGGATAACGCTTTAAGGCTCACAAGGGTTTAGCACTTCAGTACTACAACTGGTGCATATAACTAGGATCCCAGGTCATGGTCAGGTCTTTCTATTTTTTGTAGCACATCTCTTCCTTCTGTTACTCCTGCTCCTGCTCCTCCTTCCTCTCCTGTTCCTGCTGCTGCTGCTCCTCCTCCTCCTCCTCCTCCTGCTCTTCCTTCTTTCTCGCAAGTTATTTAATGTACCTAATTACCCCTCATAGTTTAGAGACAAAAAAAAAATTTTCCTCACTGCTCCCTCGAGGAAAAAAAATAATGATAGGCCGTGGAGATATTCACTTCTTTTCCTCTTCATTCTCTGTTTTACATTTATTCTTATCCACTTTCTTGTTTCTCTCTTTCACTCAGTTCGGTCGGTTCGTTATGCCAATCAGAACGCGCGGTCCAATCTGCCTCAGGGTCTTCCAGAGATCAAGATCCGATCCTCCCGGTTCATTGGAGGCTCCCGCTACGGCAAGAGGTCCGGCTTCCCCTCAGAACCCGAGCTCCCCTCCGTCATGACTCCCGAAGGTGAGTACTCGACCTAGAGATTCTGGGAACAGGACCACCACGCCCGCAAGGAAAATTTGCATCTTTTTTTTTCTCCCTTTTTTGGTTATTTACCTCTGATTTTTCTTGGGGGAAGGATGATGCATACTCTCACGCACCCACCAGCCCATTCAAACACCTATTCAAACACATTTTAACATGTCCATCTAGATACCCTGACAAACGTCCATCCCAACACCTATTCAACCGTTCATCTAAACATTCATCCATTCATCCAGATACTCTCCATCCCATCAGAACACCACCCAATTATTCATCAATTTATTCACTCATTCATTCGTCACGCCAAACACGAGAAAGGTGGGACCCCTGCGACTGTTCCGTCACCCCCATGTGACGTGACTGGCGTCAAGGATACTTACGTTCTTCGCCCTCCTCCCGCAGGTGAAGACACTGAAGTGGCCGCCACACTCCTGCTGGGGGACTCCATCCTCTGTTTCCTCGTCGACGTCCCTGATATCTACCGCTGCCTCAGGTGAGGCTCACTGGTGATCTTTTTCCCTCGGTTCTTGAAGCTCTGAATTAAGGTTTGTACTTGGCCGGTACTGAGTGTTTGCTGGATTTTTAAGTTTCATCTCCTAGACTGTCTGTGATCGTCCGTTATCTGACGTAATTCATTTTTCGCGTTATTCTCTGCATGTCTGTCGAGTGCATTCCGCTACCTTCACGCTAAAGGAATTATTTCTTATGTCAAAGTCGTGGAATTGTTTCTTATGTCAAAGTCATATTGTGGTCATGCTAGTGATGTGCAGCTCAGCTCTCTTAAGCTATCCTAGCTTCCCAGTCATCGTATTCCTGGGACACCAGCCATGAAAAAACCATCTGTATTTACTCCTTTTCTATGAGATGAGATCTTTTATGTTGACGCCACATACTCCATTGCTGATCTTAAGTATGATGTTTATAATGTCTTGAATCACGGTCAAAGTGCTTCGTGCACATCGCAGCTGCTACTATCCAGCGTTTTAAATGCCCTTTACTCATATTCAAGTTTTCCTCACATGTCTTTATTCCCCATATTTGTTTCGTTAATGTTTTATCATTGAAGAACATTGGTATGGTGTTCATCACCGTAGACGGGTCATTTGCATATATGAAAAGTAAACATTGTAGCAAGTGTTATAGTTCTATTTCCATAGAGTTAGTTTTTTCACCTGTTGGAGACGTGCTCACTTTTGCAATGATTGCCATTTGTGCAAAGGCTTTTCATGTGTGAGAATGTTTTTCGACTGTAAATGCTTTTTTAATGCCTCTCACTGTAGAAATACTCATTGTCAGTGCGAATACTTCTCAAGTCTCGAAATGTTTCTTACTTGTGTAAATACTTCTTGCCTGTGCAGATATTTCTCGCCTGTGCGAATGGTTTTAGTCTTCGCAAACACTTCTCAGCTGTCTGACTGTTTCTAACTTGTGTGAATGCTTCTCACCTGTGTGAATCCTTTTCACCGATGTAAATCACTCTGACCTGAACTCCTCATCCTCCCTCAGGAAACCCACTTCTGAAGAGGCGACTAACTGAAGCAGTTGAAGACTCATTCGTATCCTTGAGGAGAAAGTCGAGTTCTAGGGGAAAGAGATCAGCAACATACCACGATGGAAAACCAGCATCACCAGACCACGAAGGTAAAGACCGGCAACAAACCTTGAAGTACACAGCTGCAGCAGCACCACAGAGACCATCAGAGAAGAAATGAAGCAGAAAGCCTTAGCACAGACCATGAACGCAGACCGGCAACCAAATCTTTGCGTTCAAAGCAGCACAGAATACAAGCAGAGATAATCAGTACAGACTACAGACATGGTCCACCTGACGATCCACCCTCCTCCTCCTCCCCTGAACCCTCCCCCCAACTCCGACATCGTTTTCCTTCCAGTGACCACAAAATTTATTCATCTCTTGGGTATTGAACGCTGAGCTTTGGACCGGAAACAATGACCCGGAAATTAAAGTTGCCTCTGGCACAAACATTCTGTCTCCTTGCAAAAGCAATCCGCTTCCTTGCGCAACATTCCACTTGTTTGCAAGAACATTCCTCTTCCTTGCGAGGACATTCCGCTTACTTACTCTTTATTTCGTCCCCTCAGGCAGATATGTTTGGCCGGAAGATATTTAACACTCACTGAGAAAAATCTTGATTTGATATTTGTCACAGGTAAAGACAGGTGTCTCTGCTGAGGCTGTGTTACTGTTAACGTTTATACCAGAGAAGAGAACCAACCTCATAACTGATGGAAATAATTGAAAAGACGACTGCTGGAAGACCCCTTCCCACTGCTGGAAGGGCACGTACCACCGCCGGAAGATCATTTAATCCTGCCGGAAAAAAAACAATAAATTCCAGGTAAAGTCGCCGGGTCACCAATTGGACAAGACCCGCGCTGGAACACACAAGGTCACCAACACAGTAAGGGTCTACATTAAGAAAACAAAAGAAGACTTTTGCATACTGGAAATCCACGAAGGCTTCAAGACAACCAAATATGAAATCACCAAAGAAAAGAAAGTTTATTTAGGCACAGGTACACATAAGTAGAATTATCATACATAGTGTAAATTACCCAGGATAACCCCAAAAAAAAGTGTGTTGCCCTCTCTACAACCTCGAGTTCCACGCTCTCTTCTCATCTGTAGTTATAGAATAGACATAATATTTATGTCACGGAGTACCAAGAACCTGGTGCGAGGCAACAGTGTACAGTGGGCAAAGGCGCGCATGGCGTGTGTACATATATACGTACATTTATATACACTCACTGCTCATGTGTATTGTACGAGGCTGGCGGCGATGCGCCTGGCAGCGGTGTTGTTAGGCTGCCCTTCACTGTACGACAATACCTCCAAATGAAGGCCGTCAATGGATGTCAGCAATTTTCAATAAAACAAATACACTGTTTGTACTTCGTTTCTCTTACTTAACGTGTCCTCATAACCGGTGTGTTTGTTCCTGGCACTCTCAGACGTGGTCATGTTGACATGCAATGAAACTCCCTGAAAGAAACACAAATACTCCTGTTATTACTGCTTGTGACTCAACTGGTAGCTGTCTCTGCTCACGTTTCCGGGTTCGTTCCCTAGACAAGTGGGAAGGTTTGGATACTTTTCCCTACACCTGCTGCCCCTGTTCACCTGGCAGTAAGTAGGTACTCAGATGTTGGCAGTGTTGTGGGTCGCATCCTGGGGGAGAGGATTAGCCCTCCAAATTAATATTCCGGATGAAATCTGCTATTACTACTGTGACTACTTGGACTGTGACTACTTCGACTGTGACTACTTCGACTACAGTGTTACTTTCTACTGTTCTTTCACTCAATGCGTCTTGAACATTGAAGTAACTTTCCACACATTATCCTGCTGCTGCTGCTGCTGGTGGCAGCAGTAGGGGTGGCAGCAGGTGTGGTGGCAGCAGTAGTGGTGGCAGCAGAAGTGGTGGCAGCAGTAGTGGTGGCAGTAGTGGTGGTGGCAGCAGTGGTGGTGGCAGCAGTAGTGGTGGCAGCAGTGGTGCTGGCAGCAGTGGTGGTGGCAGCAGTAGGGGTGGGTCAGCAGGTGGTGGTGGAGCAGTGTGGTGGGCAGAAGTGGTGGCAGTGTAGTGGTGGCAGCAGTGGTGGTGGCAGCAGTGGTGGGTGGCAGCAGTATGGTGGCAGCAGTGGTGGCTGGTGTGGCAGTGGTGGTGTGGCAGCAGTAGGGGTGGCATGCAGGTGTGGTGGCAGCAGTTGTGGTGGCAGCAGATGGTGTGGGGTGGTGGTGGCAGCAGTGGTGGTGGCAGCAGTTGGGTGGTGGCAGCAGTGGTGTGGGTGTGGGAGCAGTGTGGTGGCTGGCAGGGTGGTGGTGGTGGCAGCAGTAGTGGGTGGCAGCAGTGGTGGTGGCAGCGTGTGGTGGCAGAGTGTGGTGGCTAGCAGTTGGTGGGGTGTGCAGCAGTGGTGCGTGGCAGCAGTGGTGGTGTGCAGCAGTAGTGGTGGCAGCAGTGGTGGTTGGCAGCAGTGGTGGTGGCAGCAGTGGTGGTGGCAGCAGAAGTGGTGGTGCGGGCAGTAGTGGTGGCAGCAGTGGTGTGTGGCATGCAGTGGTGGTGGTGGCAGCAGTAGTGGTGGCAGGCAGTAGTGGTGGCAGCAGTGGTGGCTGGCAGCAGTGGTGGTGGCATGCAGTGGTGGTGGCAGCAGTAGTGGTGGCAGCAGTAGTGGTGGCAGCAGTGGTGGTGGCAGCAGTGGTGGTGGCAGCAGTAGTGGTGGCAGCAGTAGTGGTGGCAGCAGTAGTGGTGGCAGCAGTAGTGGTGGCAGCAGTGGTGGTGGCAGCAGTGGTGGTGGCAGCAGTGGTGGTGGCAGCAGTAGTGGTGGCAGCAGTAGTGGTGGCAGCAGTAGTGGTGGCAGCAGTGGTGGTGGCAGCAGTGGTGGTGGCAGCAGTAGTGGTGGCACCAGTAGTGGTGGCACCAGTAGTGGTGGCAGCAGTAGGGGTGGCAGCAGGTGTGGTGGCAGCAGTAGTGGTGGCAGCAGAAGTGGTGGCAGGCAGTGAGTGGTGGCAGCAGTGGTGGTGGCAGCAGTGTGGTGCAGCAGTAGTGGTGGCAGCAGTGGTGCTGGCAGCAGTGGTGGTGGCAGCAGTAGGGGTGGCAGCAGGTGTGGTGGCAGCAGTAGTGGTGGCAGCAGAAGTGGTGGCAGCAGTAGTGGTGGCAGCAGTAGTGGTGGCAGCAAGGTGGTGGTGGCAGCAGCGGTGGTGGCAGCAGTAGTGGTGGCAGCAGTAGTGGTGGCAGCAGTGGTGGTGGCAGCAGTAGTGGTGGCAGCAGTAGTGGTGGCAGCAGTAGTGGTGGTGGTGGTGGTGGTCAGTAGTTTGTCTCCCATGTACGAGTCATGGTGAATGTGTTTCCTTCTTAGACCAGCTGATTTTATTTTAATGACATCAGTCAGACTGTCCAAAAAAATTTTTTGGGTCTGACAGTTCAAGCAGAGTTAATATGTACAATTACAATACCTGCACTTTGATTATTTTGAGTACATTAACAAATCCCTTCTCAAACTGGATGAGTACAATAATTTAGATTTTTAAGTTCAATTATATGATCTATTATCGCAATGCATTGTGTCCTGGAGTACAGTTAGAGGGACACTAGAGTACAATATTTAGAGTGAGCACAATAAAGGAATTCTAGAGTACAATTACTAAGGAACTTGTAAACAATAACTTGAGTGTTTGAGTACAATACTTTGCGATCCTTCAGTACAGTAACTCAGGCTCTTGAGTACAATAACACATCTGTAGTACAATAACACATCTGTAGTACAATAACACATCTGTAGTACAATAACACATCTGTAGTACAATAACACATCTGTAGTACAATAACACATCTGTAGTACAATAACACATCTGTAGTACAATAACACATCTGTAGTACAATAACACATCTGTAGTACAATAATACATCTGTAGTACAATAATACATGATCCCTCATCTCTTGATAATGAAGAAAATGACAGCTACACCAGGGAGATGACAGCTACACCAGGGTGATGACAGCTACACAAGGGTGATGACAGCTACACCAGGGAGATGACAGCTACACCAGGGTGATGACAGCTACACAAGGGTGATGACAGCTACACCAGGGAGATGACAGCTACACCAGGGTGATGACAGCTACACCAGGGTGATGACAGCTACACCAGGGTGATGACAGCTACACCAGGGAGATGACAGCTACACCAGGGTGATGACAGCTACACCAGGGTGATGACAGCTACACCAGGGTGATGACAGCTACACCAGGGTGATGACAGCTACACCAGGGTGATGACAGCTACACCAGGGTGATGACAGCTACACCAGGTGATGACAGCTACAACCAGGGTGATGACAGCTACACCAGGGTGATGACAGCTACACCAGGGTGATGACAGCTACACCAGGGTGATGACAGCTACACCAAGGTGATGACAGCTACACCAGGGAGATGATAGCTACACCAGAGAGATGATAGCTACACCAGAGAGATGATAGCTACACCAGAGAGATGCCAGCTACACCAGGGAGATGATAGCTACACCAGGAAGATGACAGCTAGACCAGAGAGATGATAGCTACACCAGGAAGATGACAGCTACACCAGAGAGACGACAGCTACACCAGAGAGATGACAGCTACACCAGAGATGACAGCTGCACCAGAGAGATGGCAGCTACACCAAGGAGATGATAGCTACACCAGGGAGATGAGAGCTACACCAGAGAGATGACAGCTACACCAGAGAGATGACAGCTACACCAGAGAGATGGCAGCTGCACCAGGGTGATAACAGCTACACCAGAGAGATGACAGCTATACCAGGGAGATGACAGCTACACCAGTGAGATGACAGCTACACCAGGGAAATGACAGCTACACCAGGATGATGACAGCTACACCAGGGTGATGACAGCTACACCAGGGAGATGACAGCTACACCAGGGAGATGACAGCTACACCAGGGAGATGACAGCTACACCAGGGTGATGACAGATGCACCAGGGTGATGACAGCTACACCAATGTGATGACAGCTACACCATGGTGATGACAGCTACACCATGGTGATGACAGCTACACCAGGGAGATGACAGCTACACCACTGAGAGGACAGCTACACCACTGAGATGGCAGCTACACCACAGAGAACAACTACACCAGGGAGAGGACAGCTACACCACTGAGGGGACAGCTACACCACTGAGGGGACAGCTACACCACTGAGGGGACAGCTACACCACTGAGGTGACAGCTACGCCACTGAGGTGACAGCTACGCCACTGAGGTGACAGCTACGCCACGGAGAGGATAGCTACACCAGGGAGAGGACAGCTACACCAGGGAGAGGACAGCTTCACCAGGGAGAGGACAGCTACACCAGGGAGAGGACAGCTTCACCAGGGAGAGGACAGCTACTCCAGGGAGAGGACAGCTTCACCAGGGAGAGGGCAGCTACACCAGGGAGATGACAACACAGTCCACACCTGGGTGGTACACAACACAGTCCACACCTGGGTGGTACACACCACATTAACATCTTCTAGTAAACATCCCACTATCCTTGCCATCTATCCGCACTCTGTTTCAGACCATTACTGCTCCTACATTCCAATAGATTAATAAATTTATAGTGACCTTCAAGCGTCATTATCCTTGGATGACTCAGTTTGCTCCACTACACCCGTTTCATCCCTATCATTCATTTTCATAGAAGAAAAATCCATCAGCTATGTAAAGCCTTTGTAAAGCTTATTGTCATCAGTGCAGGTGTGAGGAGAGACTTTTAAAACTTTAGGAAAACAACCCATTGGAGAAGCTTAAACATTGTCTTAAATGTTTTAAATACTGAGGGAGGATGGAGCCTCAATCATCCCTTGCGCTAAATGGCTCACTCGGCTTCAGTATTTCATACTGCTTTAATAATCTGAGATGCCAAGACTAGACGTCAATATAGTTTACATTATTATGCCCAGAGGGTCGAGAGAGTCACTTTGCAGGATCAACATCCTCGTTCTATGAAGGATACAATGAGGCTGGCAACGACCGGTCCTTGGTCCTCTTGCAGGAAGTGGCCGGCGTCTAAGATCTTAACATGGCAGGCCCTAGGAAGGACTCGCTGCAGCAGAGGACGTCCCGGCAGCGTGAAAGTCTCCCCGTCGCTGTACCCCAGTAACACGGGGCCTTGCCAGTGCTCCAAGAACCCAGCAGCCTTTTGCATCTCGCGGGCCACAACATCGTTCTCCCGCAGGGGGATCATGAGTGGCCACCAGGAGGGCCCCGCTTTGTACAGCTCAGAAGGAAAGGGGGCCCCGTAGCCCCACTGGATAGCGTCGTCGGGGGCATCAGATACTGCCTTGAAGACGGTCTCCACGGAGATGTGACGACCTATGGCCTGGACGAGGAAGCGCCAGGAGAGGTAGGCCCGGTGCTCCCACACCGAGCTGACCGAAGACAGAATATCACCTTGAGGAAGCCAAGTGTTGAGCAACACTAAGCGACGGTACCGCCCTGGGTCTCGAAGTACAGCACTCACTCCAGTTGGGCCACCCAAGTCCTGCATCACCACCGTCACTCCCTGTAGAATAAAAAATCTGCGTTACAACTAAGAACCAAGAGTTGTATAATCCATGAATATAATACATCCAGTCTCCTGAAAATTACAGTGGTAATAGCACCTTGCAAGAAGCTGATTATTGTAACTTGGCCATTATTTTGATAGTCATGACAAATCAAGCACTAAATTTATGCAGCAGAAGAGGTTTATGTCTCCATTCATTGATCTTCATTAATGTTTCTTTTTTGTGCTTGATAGATGCCGAGAATTAAAATTTTGTTCAAACTAGACTATAGGTCAAAACAGAAGCAGTGTTATGATCCCTTACAAACTGCCACAACACAGGCCCACCTAATAACTTTCCGTAACGCAGAGTAAGGTTGGCTGGTGGACACCAAAGTGCCTCAAAGTCCTCAATCATAGTAATAGGCTTTGCAGAATTTTTGACAGAGTTCACAAGCCAAACATGACTTTTGGCGATCGTTTCCACCCTCAAAGACACGTACTACACCCGTCTGTATTACCTGCAGATCGAGGGATCGCACCACCAGCTCCACCGTCGATACGTGAAGGTCATGCGAGTACGCGTCCGGGTCAGTTAGCTTATCGGAGCGTCCAAAGCCTACGTGGTCGAGGGCGACGATGCGGTGCCCGGCGGCAAGGAAGACAGGAATCATAGTGCGATAGAGGAAGGACCAGGAAGGTGTCCCATGCAATAAGAGCAGGACCTCTGGGGCGTCCACTGGTCCTACAGCAGGAAGGACACAATATTAACCTCACTATAATACGTGATGAGCTGTTTTACTCTCCCCCCCCCCCGAAAAAAAGGAGCCACAGACAATAGTTGCAATGTTTGTTGAAAGTGCAGGACGACCCATGGTTCAATCAGCAATGTATGAAAGAAAAACAAAGAACACGATTTTATTTTGTGAGGCATTAACTTCGTGGGTCAGTTAAGGCAAGATCTGGTAATGTATATATATATATATATATATATATATATATAATATATATATATATATATATATATATATATATATATATATATATAGTAGGTTGGTAGACAGCAACCACCCAGGGAAGTACTACAGTCCTGCCAGATGACTGTGAAACGGAAACCTGTAACTGTTTTGCATGATGGTAGGATTGCTGGTTTCTTTTTCTGTCTCATAAACACGCTAGATAACAGGGATATCTTGCTACTCCTACTTACACTTTGGTCACACTTCCAGACACGCACATGCATATATATATATATTTATATAAATATATAAATAATATATA